CCACCAGGAGGTTTCCACACATAAGAGTCAGATCTATGTATCCTCCGGTCACCTGCAACAGGGGGAATAAAACCCTAAGTACTCGATTATACTCAGCAAGACTTACCCGATAGGAGGAAAATAAAAGACTCTAACGATATGCAAGGCTATCTAGCTTGTGGGTTATTGCATCTGTAGGAAGCATTACTAAACGTGAATCATTATATTCCATTTTATTAGCAGTCATCATTAGTTCATTAACTAACCATTTTATGTAAGCACCTATGCTACTTTCAAGCATGTGGTAAGTAATCAGAACCATTTTATCATCTTTCATATTTCAGTTCTTACTACGGGGCTAGACCATAGCCAAGTTGTACCGTCTCACAGAAATGGCGATTCAAATCAATGTATCCCAGCTGGGTACCCCGAAACATACGCCTCGCTTGTACCCCAGGCACAAACAAGGCCAACCCATTCCACTCCTATCAAGGGTCTAGGTCCCTGTCCAAACTTGGTCTTCAAGCCCCCAACACCTGAGACCCGGTCTCAGTATGGTGCTTAGACCTCCACCTAATACCCAGCCCTAAAAGTCAGTTCGAAAAGAGCCGGAACCCATGACAAGAGAGTAACAAGTCTTCTCATTCCTATAAGCAAGTATGTGCTCAGGATAATAAGTTTGTGACCTGACTACCATCCACAGCAACGGACGATCCTTAATTGACATAGGTGGAACGAGTGCAACTAGAGCCTCACTCGATTGCCCAACACAATCCAATTTCAAATCCAAAGTATAGTTCCACCCGGTCCCCAATTATTATCCATTCATATTCCATGTGATGATAATATTAACAATGATATATTTTCCTATCTCTCGCGAGTGACAGGTAATCACTCGACTTCTACCGGAATCCTATAGCATAGTAATCTACATAATCGTGTCATACTAGTAAGACTCATAGGATTAGGATATATTTATGCAAGTGGATTTCATTCAACTCCTTTAAACTTAATGCACAAGTATAAAGTAAAGTGCAGAATAATAGGGGTTATGCACCGGGCTTGCCTGGGTAAGATAACCAAAAGTTAGCATTCCATCATGGTGACACGATCATCAAGGCACCATCTTTTTTGCTACTCCGGCCATCTCCACGATCCATCGTTGTTCCTATTATGACATATGTGGATGCAACGCAGAGACATAATTAATCAACGGTAACCGCAACTCTTAAAATACGATTACGCCTCTCAAGCTACGAGCTAGCTCTAATGACTAACATACTAGGCTACGTATCCACGTTGTTGCATAAGGCGTTGTTTCCCGATAAGTGTTTTAGTTCTACAATCCCAAGGTGTTTCTTTACTTCATTTCATTGATTTAATATATATTCAAACTAGGGCTCATTAGCTATATTAGCAAACTAATTATTATGGAGCTACAAAAATTACAGTGAGCATCTAATAATATTAGGAATTTACTGTGAAATTTTTAGAGCCAACACTATCACCAATTTATTACAAAATTCCTATAAGTTTATATCTTAACAATATTAAGCATCTCAATTTAATTAGATAACCCTGAAAATACTATGAAGCTATGGGAACAAGATATACTAGCAGATAGATCATGATTTTAGGAACCTAACAAAATTAGTTTTACCATTTTTGGTCAACTACACAAATTTATATGGAATTTACAAGTTTGCTTTAGAATCTAAATTAGAAAACGCTTTAGGAAAAAGGAAAAGGCCGGTGGTGACTAATCTGGCCCAGCGGCCCGCGAAGCCCGCGCGGGTCATGGTCGTGCTCATCCGGTCGGCCCAGCAATGACCCAAAGCGGGAGAGCCCCACGCGCTCGCGCTTTTGCAAAAGAGGGCTCGCACTATTAGACAATCAAGCGACACAGTGAATCACTATTTCATTAGACTCAAGCTTTGCATAAAACACCCTAAAAAGTCTTGTCTTCGCAACGGGTGGCTCCCCGGCGTGCCTACGCATGATCGGCAACTACGGTTACGCTGGCCATCGGCAAGGGTCTCCGGTGACCTACGGTGGCCGAGCATCTAAGTTTCAGCAGCGTGCTTCTAGAGATGGCGGTTAGATACCAAGAGAGGCACTGCAGCAAAGCCGACCACGGTCGTGGCTGGGACAATGCGTTTCGTGATGATGGTGAGGCCGTACCGGTGACCTAGAGCCCTAACGGAGGTAACGCAGTGGTGGAAAAGCAGTCAGAGCTCACCAAGGTGCACGCGGTGGTGACGGTTGAAACTGGGAAGGGCTGAGGTGGTCTGGCCATGTGCGAGCTGGCGGGGTAGCGATGCTCTGAGGTGGATACCGGTGCATCACCTCATCACCGATGAAGCTTCTGACCAAAACAAGGCGAACATGGCACGAGGGGGTCAAGGAGAGCTCGAAACACCCATCAATTGAACTGCTACTTGTGACAAGAGGCTCACCCTCAACACGAGTATAGCATTGCGGCGAAACAGATTGGCGGTGAGCAAAAACTCGAATCTAGACGGCAATAGGGCTTGCCTGTGCCTTGGTGAAGGTTGGGCTACTAGCTAGCTTCTATTACTAGCTACTAGAGCACTGAATCGAGATGAGATATCATGGACAACACGTATTTCACTTGCGAAGCGGCGCGATTTCGTCGGCGGTAGAGGGAAGACAGGGCAGCGGCCCTTCAAGACTCGGCCAACTTCGGCTGAGGTTGCGTTAATGAAATGAGGGTGTCCACACAGGTGAGGCTCAGAGAGAGAGCATCGTGGAGTGCCGGGATGGGATGGCTCGGCCTTGGTGGGACGTGGACGGCGGTAGCGAAACAGTGATCACGCGCAAGGCTGTCGGACGGGGCTGGTACAACAAAACGGCGTGCGGGGAGGGCAGCGATACGGCGACTGCTCCACGTGCACGAGGCTACACCCTCCCTGTAGCTTCATGGTGGGACCGGCTCGGTAAGGCCAGGCGACACGACAAGAGCAGCGCGGCACGTAGGTGAGGTGCACGGTTGAGACCACGTTGCACAGATGGGGCAGCTACAACAAGGGCACAACGGCTCGGCGCGTCACGGTGTCGGCCCAGCATGCAGCAGTGGCACACGCGAGGGGCCTCGGTGGTGTGCTCAGCACTGCCAAGGATGCGACCGCGGTGTGCAACAGCAGCGTGGTAGTGCAGCGGCCCAACCTCGCCGCAACCGGCAACCGTGCGTAGCAATGGGCCAGATGGCAGGGGGCGTGCGGCAGGGCACAGCCTACGGGGCAGAGTACGGCCAGTGGCTATGACGTGATGAATCGACGCGGTGACCGTGGCCACGGGTCACAACCGCCAACAACCGTGACCTTCTTGCAACTCCGTGAGATTTTTCCATGGCCCAAACGAGCTCAAACCCCTCTAACCCCTACTCCATTACAAAGATCACACTTCGGTGCAATCAACAGTGCCAAAACACAGCTATAGTGTTTAACTAAATTTTTTAGAAATTAATTGCCAAAATGGCATTGTCTACTACCTTTCCATACTTAGAAAAGAGTAATATGCATCGTGGGCCCTTGAACTTATCTTGGGGTGCCACTTAGGTCCACAAACTCTCAAATCATACTTCTGGCACCCTAATGTTGTTTAAGTATGCCACTTAGGTCCATAACTCATCGGAACAAGATTTTGGCCGACGTGGCATGGACAGTGTGGCGCAAGCGCATCTGAGCCACGTGTGAGCCTATGTCATCCGCTAGAACTCGCTGACGTCGTGATACCTGTCACCCGCGTTGTCGTCCTCGACGAAGATCTTGCAGCTGTCGTAGCACGTCTTACACGACATGAACCGAACATCGCTCGCAGGCGGCGCACGCCTCCATGTACCCAAGCTTCCATGAGGGCGCGGCCTCGCACCCTCCGGGCATGCCCGAGCTCGCCCGCCTCGTGCAGGAAGTGCACGTCCTCGGCACCGCCGAGGTACTAGCCATCGACGAATAGGCGCGGGAGCGCGGTGCCTACGAAGCCGGTCCCGAGGAGCAACACGAGCTCGGCCTTGAAGACAGCATGCATGGAGACATCACGCTCATCTAGGCGCACGACGTAGCTGCGCAGGATGCGGGCACGGAGACCAACCCTGCCCTCCTCGCGCGGCCGCTCATCGGTGAGCCCATGCCCCGATGACTCCTCGTCCTTGCCCAGCGCACCCTGACTCTGCTATGGCCTACACCACGCCATCGCCAGCCACCCTGGCCCTACTCTGCTGGCTGCTGCGGCCTGCTCTACTGCCGTGTTGTGCCCAGAGCCTGACTCAGCCCCTCTCTAGAGTAGACGAGCAGCCTGCAGCTTTAGCAGTGCAGGCGTGTAGAACAAGAGCAAGCCTAAAGGGGAGCTGTAGGTGACTTCAAGGTAGTAGGATGAGCATAGTCTGGCTCTGGCGCGGTGTCCGTCGAGCTCGCATGCGCGCGACGGGGTGGCCATGCTCCTGACTGCATCTGCCGGTGGTGACATCGTAGTGGGACACCCAATCTAGCAGAGCGTGCTTCTCTGGTGGGCCGTGCAGCGCCTCCCACAGGCTGCCATTGGGCATGAACTCATCTGACAAAGATCATAGCATTCGGCGTCGTTGTGCACATAACCCAAAGAATGCGACGATGTTCCGGTGCGAGCCGCCCAGAGGGCCACCTTTTGAGCACGCCCACGGTCACCTCGCTTCGTCGACGGCGCTTGGCGTTATCGCCCGTCCACCGGCGTCGGCCGCCATAACTTCTTTCACGGTGATCACAGCGCACGCACGGGAGCTCTGCCCTGTACACCACCCCAATCGCGCCCATGCCCACCAAGTTCACCTCCTTTATGCATGCCACCACGTCGGTGCTCGTGAACCCGAGCCGCTGGAGCGCCGTCAGCTGCCACGGCCATGCGCTCGACTCTGTGCCGAGGCTTTTGTCGTCATCGCAGCAACCCTCTATGTACCACCGCCGGTATGTGTACCGCCCGTCGACCAGTGCCGTGAATGTGGCGACGATGGTGAGCATCGCCATGAGCTAGACCAGCGCGACGTGCCTGAGGCGCGCGCTACCACGGGCAGCGCGTGCCACCACGCCCGTGTCGCGGCTCCCGAAGCACGGCGGGAGCACGCCGCCGCACAGCCCGACATTGCCCGCCAGCTCGTTGGGGTTGATGGAACACAAGATGTCGTTCCTAGGTACTAGACCCATGAGGCTATTGTACGAGAGGTTGAGCGTCTCCAGCGCCGGCGAGCTCCCGAAATTCTCTGGGATGCCGCCGGTCAAGGAGTTGCTCGACAAATCAAGGATGGCCATCGCGGGCATCATGGCGAGTGCCTTGGGAATCTCGCCGGTGACCTGATTGTGCCTAAGGTTCAGCTTGACCAACCTCTGGCACGAGGTGAGGCTGGACGGGATCGCACCGACAAGCCAATTGTTCGAGAGGTCCAACGCCGCCAGTGCCAGACAGTCCTAGAACTGGTCAGGGAGCTCACCGAAGATGATGTTGTCTAAAGCCAAGAAGCTCTGTAACGTCGGGATCGTGCCTGTGAGCCGGTTGCTCTGTATGCGCACGTGCACGATGCGAGCCCGACCAGCCTAGCCTGGGGGCGCAGTGAAGCCTGGAGCACTCCGTACCTCACATGCATCCGCGTCCTTCCTGTCCTTCCGCTCCTGCTCCCTGGGTGTCTCATCTTCGGTGGACGAGACAACCATAGGCTCCGACGACTGCGGTATGCCCTCTAGAGCCTCCTAGAATCCAGATAGTACCTCCGGGTTGAAGTGTAAGGCGACGGGCATGTCCATGTTGGCCTGCATCCACTGCGGTAGCGGCGGTGCCTCCAAGGTGAACTCCTACGGTGACCCATCGAGTGGCAGACTCTTGTACGTGGCGCGTGGCGTCGACACGTCGTCCTCGAGCCCCGCCATGAGCTCCCACGCGTTGATCACCTCGGGCTCGTTGGTCGGCGTTAGCGTCGGTGTGCGGAGCTTTAGGGGTTGCTGCGCAGCGTCGTCACCGAGGGGACCCATGTCCGCGACGTGGTCATTGTCGCCCTTCATCATCTCCTCCACCAATAGCGTTGCGTGCCTGCACGAGCCGGAGTGACGGGCGCTGCTGACGAGGCTGAGGGTGCCGAGCATCGACATAGCCCTCAGCCGCAGACGCTGGATGTTGACAGAGTTCAGCGAGAAGCTATGTCGAGCATGGGCTTCGGCACCGACCCACACCATGTCGTGCCGCGCTTCGGTGGATGTCGCGTACCCCATCACCGGATCACGTCGCGATGACGTGAGCGCGCGCTAGCCTACCTCCTGGGTCGTCTGTGCTCGCATGCACATGCACGCGTGGCTCGATCAATGGCACCACAAATCCACAATGCAGTTACAACCAAAGGACCTAGAGCTCTCGAGCCTAGATAATGGAGGCTCTCTGCTTATTTGCACGCCCCAAGGTAGGCTCATGCGCGGCTCACGTGCGCTTGCGCCACGCTGTCCACGCCACGTCGGCCAAAACCTTGTTCCGATGAGTTATGGACCTAAGTGGCATACTTAAACAATATTAGGGCGCCGAAAGTATAATTTAAGAGTTTGTAGACCTGAGTGGCACCCCAAGACAAGTTCAAGGGCCTACGATGCATATTACTCCTTAGAAAAATTAAAGATTTCAGTTTTGGACTAACAACCACTAGCCCTTTTGCCAAAATTTTAAAAGGTCTAAACCTTGTTAACTCCATCCACAAGTATGCCATGCAATAGTCCATACTTCATACTAACTCATAGGAACAAAACATTTAAGCACTATTTAATTATTTTGCTCAATATAATTCGCCAAAAATGGCACTTTAAACATGGTTCAAGTGTTTACCGACTTAACGAAAAGGGTTGATTTTAATTTCCAATTCACTTTTTGAGCTCCCAAGAACACTGGTTAACAACATTCGTTTGCAAAAATTAAAGTTGCATTTTCAACTTTACTTAAGTACTACACACAAGTTATATTTTATTTTGGTTTATATAAATTGTTTTTCATGCCAAACAATTAAAATGACTTATCCCATTCTTCTTGTTAGGATTTTCATTAGCACTTTTACACACTAAGTTAACTTGGATATTTAGTTGAGTCCACAAAAGTGAGTCACATAGGATTCGCTTATCATTTCATGCGCGTTTTAAATTTTTAAAACCCAAAAACTTGTTTGGCTAATCTCTCTCGGGCCTCAATCTCGGTGCTAAGCAAGCTCGTAACACCAGGGGTGTTACAATAGTGTTCCCTCAAAGTAACCAAGAGAATATGGTTTTAGAGGAAGCACGTATGTCGCGATCTTAGTTCATACAAAGGTTGGTGCATATTGTGGTCAAGAAAAGGAAGGAAAAGAAGAGCAACAAAGAAAAGTTAGCCGTGGGTAGTCGGGAGTGATTGGAAAAGCCTGAGTGGATGTCATGTCCCAAGCCCTGTGTCCAGCTCGCCTACACTACGCACGCCAGGTCACTATTGTGGTGTGCCCTGCGGATGCCGTTAGTGTCAGGGACCACTAGCACCCCGTCCTCACGTAACCACGGCATTATGCCGCATCCACCGTACTCATGCACTGTGCGCTTCCCCTTTTCCTAGCACCCTGTCAGCTCTTGATCCCCGCCCTCACTCCCATACTGGACCCCCCTTCCCCTCTCCTTTTTCTTCTTTTGGGGACACGGCCACCCGCACGCCTCCCCCGTCAAGCGAATGCCCTCCCCTCTCCCTTATCCTCCCTCCGCTCAAGCTTGCATAGGGAGCGCACCATGGCTAACCCTTTCCCCACCTTGTGAACCGTTAGTGTCTCCCATCCACACTGCCTCCACTTCCGATGCACTGTGCCCCACCTCCATTCGCCCACTATAGATGCCCTTGGCCCTTGCTCTCCTCTTGCATCCCTATTCCCCTTGAATCCGAACTAGAGCTCATAGAGTAGATCCTTCCGTCCGTGTAAGTTGGAGTAGCTCGAGAAGTAACTAAGGCGAGAAGAAGCAGTCGAAGACAGAGCTACGAGATCCAGTCGTCGCTCGTGAAATGAGGGTCTTCAGTCAGAGGTGATTGTGTAATTTGAGAAGAAGGGATATGGTTTTGTCAAAGAAGTTCAAGTCCAACTCTGGTTAGTTTAGTCATACGCCATGTTTTGATTGATCATTATCTTGCTGTTTCTCCATTCCCTACCCTGTAGCACGCGTTCACATCTGCTCACCTCACCTACCTCGCTCCTGCTTGCACCGCCTCCTGCCGTATCACGACGCCGTGCTGCTGCGTGCGCGTGGCCGCACGCAGGCACACCTTCAATAGCTATGTCCAAGTGCTAACCAATGCGCTGCTCGCTTGTGTGGTCATATCCTTGCTACCGTGCCTCATTGGGTCATGGCTAGACCATTTCTGTCGGGGCCGTTCCCCGCGGCGTGGCGGTGGCGGTGCACCGCTATCCTTTCCCCTTCATAACCTATAGCTCAAAGCTTCTCGGTCCAATTCCTCACGTCAGCAGGTAGCAGAGGGAGTCAGCTAGGCGCCCCGTTCCCACCAAGTCCAGTCGTTGCCTGCCTGTGGCCAATTTTGCATTTTTGGCCACCGCTGGTCTTGTGCGCCGCCGAACCGGTGGGTTGGGAGGTAAGGCAAGTAGGAATGGTAGCAATTCAATTACGCATAGCCGTGAGCTCGCCTTGACTTTCTCCATCCGATGCTCGCATTACTTTGGCCAGGATGCTCAACGATGGAGTGTGGACACGTCGGTGGCGCGCTTAGAGGGCCACTGCGCGGTGCGGGCGCACGTGGCCAGACCGCCACAACGCTCCCCTGCTTCAACCATCAGTGAGGCATGCACCACGGTGAGCCACTGATGCTTATCCGCCACCTTTACTCTGACTGAGCCTATGTAGGTTCGTCGAAACAGGTGCGCCACCGCCGTAGTTAGCCACTCACCGCTGCCGCTCGCCACAGTGCGCCGCTGAATCCCTAACCACCACCCATGCATGCGGGGTTTAGCCATAGATGGTGGTCGGCCCGTTATTACTGTCATAGTGGGTCTAGCTTGCCCGGCGTAACCGTCGTTGCTGTCGGTGTGCCGCGCCGCCGCGCGCTGGGACACCGAGGATCGCCCCGTTATAAAGGCAACACATTCCAAGGTCTTTAATGCAAAGCGTGAGTCTGTAGTAATAGTGCTCCGTTGCTCCGTGTGATTATCCAAAAACCCGAGCCCTCTTTTTGTAAACCTTGAGCCTTGACATTGCAACCTTCTGGCCTTGGGCACATTGGGCCATCGCGATGCACACGCCGCCGCGCGACTCATGTTGGGTCTGCTTTGGGCGTAATGGGTTGTTCTTGGCCGTTTTCTTTTTCTAGATCATTTTCTAATTAATTTCTAAGGTAAACTTGTAAATTCAATAGAAATTTGTGTAGTTGACCAAAAATTGTGAAATCAATTTTGTTTGGTTCCTAAAATCATGATCTATCTGCTAGTATATTTTGTTCACATGGTTTTATAGTATTTCCAAGAGTAATCTAATTAAATTGAAATACTTAATATTGTTAAAACATCAACTTGTAAGAATTATTGTGAGGAATTGGTAGTAGTGTTGGCTCTGAGATTTTTACAAAAAAATTCCTAACATTATTAGGTGCTCACTGTAATTTTTGTAGCTCCATTGGGATTAGTTTGCTAAAGTTGTTAAATGAGCCCTAGTACAAATATATGTATTTAATCAATAAAATGCCAAAACACTTTGGGGTTGTAGAACTAAAACATTTTTCTGAAGACAAAGTCTTACTTGACGACGTGGATACATAGCCTAGTGCGTTAGTCATTAGAGCTAGCTTGTTAGCTTGTGGAGCGTAATCGTATTTTTAGAGTTGTAGTTGTCGTTTGTTAATTACGTTTTCTGCATTGCATCCACGTATATCATAATAGAAACAATGATGAATCATGGAGTCGACCAGAGAAATAGAAAAGATGGTGCCTCGGTGATCGTGTTGCCATGATGGAATGCCAATCCTTGGTTACATCTTGCCCAGGCAAGCCCCGGTGCATAACCTCTAATATTCTGCACTTTATTTCATGTTGGGCACTAAGTTTTGAGGAGTTGAATGGAACCCACTTGCATATACATATATTCTTATCCCATGAGTCTTACTAGTATGACAGGATCATGTAGATTGCTATGCTATAGGATCCGGTAGAAGTCGAGTGATTACCTGTCACTCGCGAGAGATAGGAAATATATTATTGTTGTTATTATATTACTATCACATGAAATATATGTATAGAGGATAATTGAATACCGGGCGGAATGGTACTTTGGATCTAGACTTGGTTAGGCATTCGAGCGAGGCTCGGATTGCACTTGTTCCGCCTATGTCGATCGAGGACCGTTCGCTGATGTGGATGGTAGTCAGGTCACAGACTTATTATCCTGATCACATACTTGCTTATGGGGGTGGGAAGACTTGTCATTCTCTTATCTTGGGTTCTGGCTCTTTCCAGACCGACTTTTAGGGGTGGGTATTAGGTGGAGGTCTGAGCACCATACTAAAATTGGGTCTCAAGTGTTGGAGGCTTGGAGTCCAAGTTTGGACGGAGACCTAGACCCCTTGATAGGAGGGAGATGAGTTGGTTCCATTTGTGCCTAGGGTGCAAGCGGGGCGTGTGTTTCGAGGTACCCAGCTGGGATACATTAATTCGTGAATCGTCGTTTCTCTGCGACGGTATCGACTTAACTATGGTCTAGCACCGTAGTAAGAACTAAAACTTGGAAGGTGATAAAATGGTTCTGAATGCTTACTCACATGCTCGAAAGTAGCTTAGGAGCTTACCTAGAATGATTAGCTAATTAACTAAAAACAACTGTTTAAAACTTGGAACATAAGGATGCACTATTAGTAATACTTCCGGCAAAGGCAATAAACTAGTAAGCCAAAAAGCCTTGCATATCCTTGGAGTCTTTGATTTTCTCCTGTCGAGTAAGTCTTGCTGAGTATAATTGAGTAGTTAGGGTTTTATTCCCCCTGTTGCAGGCGATAGGTACGGTTGAACTACACTTGTGTGTGGAAACTTCCTGGTGGGCTCAGCGAGGATTTCCTGACGCTGCTGACGTAGAGTTTATTCAAAATTTTCTTAAAAATGTTTTGTAAAGGAAAACTTATAATCTATTCCATTCCTTGTATGTAAATGTTCCTCATGTAGCTCTTAACCTTGTAGTGTATGAAATTTTATTTTCGCTGAAACTCTAATCACATGTTTAATTCCGCTATT